AATAAGCACATTTCAGCTCCTCATGACGGATATTTATAGGGATTTTATACGGACTTGTATTATAAAACGATCATTTCCTGTGGGCGAGATCCCACAGACGCGACATTTCAGCGCAGTCCCCGCCCCCCCTCCGCCGCGTCGCGTTCCTCGCGCCCTCGGCCGGCTTGTACTTATTGTAAATAGAAAATCGTTAATGCTAAAAAAGTGTCCATAGTATTTTATCCCGGAAGAGAATTATGTACAAACGCTGCCCATGTGGAATATTAAAGGTATTGAATACAATCTCCATCCCGGGGGGTCGTTCTTGTGGAGGACGTCGCCGCGTCTTCATATGTGCCAAACCAAAAAAAAAAATGGCCGCTGACCTAACCAATCAGACGTCTCCGAGGACCGGGACTGTTACCTTCTGATTGGCTGTGATGGAAATCTCTGTATGAAGGACGAACATTTATAACAATGTATCACCTTCTTCCCGTGTTCTAATAAACCCATCGAGCTCCCGCGACCCCCTCCCCCTCCCCCGAGCCTCAGACAGAGGAGGGACTTAAAGGGGGCCGAGCGCCTGTACAGGACACAGGAAAATCAGAGACGACCGGGTAATACGCAGCAGGTGATTGGCCAGAGCTGTGAGCACCCCATATAACCCCTCCCCCCCCTTCCAGGAAATACTCAGTTTTATTGCCAATGTCCTTCAGTGATGGAGATTTCCTCTACTGGGGGATGTGTTGTAGTTCTGCAGTCTTCTATCTGACCTCCGTCCTCCCCTTCAGTCTTCTATCTGACCTCCGTCCTTCCCTTCAGTCTTCTATCTGCCCTCCGTCCTTCCCTTCAGTCTTCTATCTGCCCTCCGTCCTTCCCTTCAGTCTTCTATCTGCCCTCCGTCCTTCCCTTCAGTCTTCTATCTGCCCTCCGTCCTTCCCTTCAGTCTTCTATCTGCCCTCCGTCCTTCCCTTCAGTCTTCTATCTGCCCTCCGTCCTTCCCTTCAGTCTTCTATCTGCCCTCCGTCCTTCCCTTCAGTCTTCTATCTGCCCTCCGTCCTTCCCTTCAGTCTTCTATCTGCCCTCCGTCCTTCCCTTCAGTCTTCTATCTGCCCTCCGTCCTTCCCTTCAGTCTTCTATCTGCCCTCCGTCCTTCCCTTCAGTCTTCTATCTGCCCTCCGTCCTTCCCTTCAGTCTTCTATCTGCCCTCCGTCCTTCCCTTCAGTCTTCTATCTGCCCTCCGTCCTTCCCTTCAGTCTTCTATCTGCCCTCCGTCCTTCCCTTCAGTCTTCTATCTGCCCTCCGTCCTTCCCTTCAGTCTTCTATCTGCCCTCCGTCCTTCCCTTCAGTCTTCTATCTGCCCTCCGTCCTTCCCTTCAGTCTTCTATCTGCCCTCCGTCCTTCCCTTCAGTCTTCTATCTGCCCTCCGTCCTTCCCTTCAGTCTTCTATCTGCCCTCCGTCCTTCCCTTCAGTCTTCTATCTGCCCTCCGTCCTTCCCTTCAGTCTTCTATCTGCCCTCCGTCCTTCCCTTCAGTCTTCTATCTGCCCTCCGTCCTTCCCTTCAGTCTTCTATCTGCCCTCCGTCCTTCCCTTCAGTCTTCTATCTGCCCTCCGTCCTTCCCTTCAGTCTTCTATCTGCCCTCCGTCCTTCCCTTCAGTCTTCTATCTGCCCTCCGTCCTTCCCTTCAGTCTTCTATCTGCCCTCCGTCCTTCCCTTCAGTCTTCTATCTGCCCTCCGTCCTTCCCTTCAGTCTTCTATCTGCCCTCCGTCCTTCCCTTCAGTCTTCTATCTGCCCTCCGTCCTTCCCTTCAGTCTTCTATCTGCCCTCCGTCCTTCCCTTCAGTCTTCTATCTGCCCTCCGTCCTTCCCTTCAGTCTTCTATCTGCCCTCCGTCCTTCCCTTCAGTCTTCTATCTGCCCTCCGTCCTTCCCTTCAGTCTTCTATCTGCCCTCCGTCCTTCCCTTCAGTCTTCTATCTGCCCTCCGTCCTTCCCTTCAGTCTTCTATCTGCCCTCCGTCCTTCCCTTCAGTCTTCTATCTGCCCTCCGTCCTTCCCTTCAGTCTTCTATCTGCCCTCCGTCCTTCCCTTCAGTCTTCTATCTGCCCTCCGTCCTTCCCTTCAGTCTTCTATCTGCCCTCCGTCCTTCCCTTCAGTCTTCTATCTGCCCTCCGTCCTTCCCTTCAGTCTTCTATCTGCCCTCCGTCCTTCCCTTCAGTCTTCTATCTGCCCTCCGTCCTTCCCTTCAGTCTTCTATCTGCCCTCCGTCCTTCCCTTCAGTCTTCTATCTGCCCTCCGTCCTTCCCTTCAGTCTTCTATCTGCCCTCCGTCCTTCCCTTCAGTCTTCTATCTGCCCTCCGTCCTTCCCTTCAGTCTTCTATCTGCCCTCCGTCCTTCCCTTCAGTCTTCTATCTGCCCTCCGTCCTTCCCTTCAGTCTTCTATCTGCCCTCCGTCCTTCCCTTCAGTCTTCTATCTGCCCTCCGTCCTTCCCTTCAGTCTTCTATCTGCCCTCCGTCCTTCCCTTCAGTCTTCTATCTGCCCTCCGTCCTTCCCTTCAGTCTTCTATCTGCCCTCCGTCCTTCCCTTCAGTCTTCTATCTGCCCTCCGTCCTTCCCTTCAGTCTTCTATCTGCCCTCCGTCCTTCCCTTCAGTCTTCTATCTGCCCTCCGTCCTTCCCTTCAGTCTTCTATCTGCCCTCCGTCCTTCCCTTCAGTCTTCTATCTGCCCTCCGTCCTTCCCTTCAGTCTTCTATCTGCCCTCCGTCCTTCCCTTCAGTCTTCTATCTGCCCTCCGTCCTTCCCTTCAGTCTTCTATCTGCCCTCCGTCCTTCCCTTCAGTCTTCTATCTGCCCTCCGTCCTTCCCTTCAGTCTTCTATCTGCCCTCCGTCCTTCCCTTCAGTCTTCTATCTGCCCTCCGTCCTTCCCTTCAGTCTTCTATCTGCCCTCCGTCCTTCCCTTCAGTCTTCTATCTGCCCTCCGTCCTTCCCTTCAGTCTTCTATCTGCCCTCCGTCCTTCCCTTCAGTCTTCTATCTGCCCTCCGTCCTTCCCTTCAGTCTTCTATCTGCCCTCCGTCCTTCCCTTCAGTCTTCTATCTGCCCTCCGTCCTTCCCTTCAGTCTTCTATCTGCCCTCCGTCCTTCCCTTCAGTCTTCTATCTGCCCTCCGTCCTTCCCTTCAGTCTTCTATCTGCCCTCCGTCCTTCCCTTCAGTCTTCTATCTGCCCTCCGTCCTTCCCTTCAGTCTTCTATCTGCCCTCCGTCCTTCCCTTCAGTCTTCTATCTGCCCTCCGTCCTTCCCTTCAGTCTTCTATCTGCCCTCCGTCCTTCCCTTCAGTCTTCTATCTGCCCTCCGTCCTTCCCTTCAGTCTTCTATCTGCCCTCCGTCCTCCCCTTCAGTCTTATATCTGACCTCTGTCCTTCCCTTCAGTCTTCTATCTGGCCTCCGTTCTTCCCTCAGTCTTGCACAGTTGTATCGGCTCCTCTCACCGCATGGAGGATCACAGCTGGGACTACCCACCCCCCGCATGGAGGATCACAGCTGGGACTACCCCCCCACGGAGGATCACAGCAGGGACTACCCCCCGAATCCCTCGATGGACTTTACGGTGAGTACAAAACTCTTATTTCAGCTCACAGGAAGTGACAAGGATGCGGAATTTCTGGCGGGATCCTCGGGTGTTTCCTGCGCTTGCTGAAAACGGTAAAAGAAAACGAATGCAGGCGCCGCGTCTGAGGAGCGGCAATATGGGCGGGGTTTATAGTTGCACATTGTCCAGGAGACGGCGGACATGACGTTGGTGGATCAGAGATCGGGCCGAGGGGCGCTCTGCTCTGAACATCTTTATAAAAAAGTCAAAACTTTCTGAAGTGATATTTTCCAAAAAAAGTGAAATATTCCCCCCGGATCTCCTCCGAACAGGACGTTATGTAACGATCTCCACACCCCTGCGCACGAGACCGTCAACACTCGGGGAGGTAGAACCTCTCCAGCTCAGTGTCCCCGAGGAGGTAGAACCTCTCCAGCTCAGTGTCCCCGAGGAGGCAGAACCTCTCCTGCTCAGTGACCCCGAGGAGGCAGAACCTCTCCAGCTCAGTGTCCCCGAGGAGGCAGAACCTCTACAGCTCAGTGTCCCCGAGGAGGCAGAACCTCTACAGCTGTGTCCCGAGGAGGCAGAACCTCTACAGCTGTGTCCCGAGGAGGCAGAACCTCTACAGCTGTGTCCCGAGGAGGCAGAACCTCTACAGCTGTGTCCCGAGGAGGCAGAACCTCTACAGCTGTGTCCCGAGGAGGGACGTTAGGACATCTCTCTCTAGCTCACCTTCCATTAGTGTCCTGACAAGGCAAGTACATCTCTCTCTGGCTCAGTGTTCTTAGATGGAACGTCTCCACCTCAGTTTTACTCCCATGTCCTCATGAGGCAGGACATCTTTCCAGCTCAGTATTCTGAGGCGGTAGGACATCTCCAGCTCACCTTTTATCAGTGTCTCGAGGAGGAAGGACATCTCTCTTCAGACCAGACCATCCGATCCTGAATATTCACCTCAGGCGGCATCTTCCCACAGCACAAAATCTGTATTGAACGGACATGGTCCCATCCCAAGACTATTCCCTGAAGGATGGAATTACTGTGCCACCGGTTATCCATCTGGGGTGGTAAGCCCTTCCTAGACATTCCAGCACCAAGCTTCAGATGCCCAGGTTTGCGAAAGGTTCTACCTGGTTCTCCATTACAGCTTTTCCAACTCCTACCAGGTGAATTTGGTTGTGTCAGCTTTGGACGAAGGTCCTGCAGGCAGTTGTGCGATTCCATCCCTTTGATCCCATGTCCTCCTCCGAGAGTTGCCCCTTCTTGGTGTCCTTGCTCATCCCTCATTTGGAGACTTTTGGACATCCCACATGTTGAAGAATAGACTTCTGCGTCCTTCTCTGAATCGGTGATTCTGATTAACACTTAATGTGCTGCAAACAGGTCTTAATTGAAGGTTTTTGTACACGGTGGATGGAACAGGTTCTCCTTAGCGGTACCACCATCACCTGCTCATTCTTCACTTCCCTGTTCTGGGAGCGTCCCTTGTGCACACTCCGTTACCGATCACCAGCGCTGTCCCATGGGAGAAGATTTCTGATAAAACATCAAGCCTAACCATGGAGAAATCTGATCAATGAGATGTTGGCCAATTGGGCCCACACCGACTATTCCCCGAAAACAAAAATCAAGTGCCCCATAATGGGCATGCCATGTGCCGCCACTAGGACAACACATGGGGTTGGTACCTTGGAAAAAACAAAACACTCCGGAAGCCGAGACTGCAGAGCCAAAGCCCTTGAAGGATATTAATCAGCTAAGAAACTATCCCTCTGGGGAGAAGTGATGGTAGATCCGATACTTTTGGACTTGAAGGTCCCAAGAAGCCGTTTTCTCTACGAGAAAGAAATGACCAGGTTGGGAGATAATTCAAGACACTGGACTGGCACAGGAGCCCAAAGCAGCAGCACTTGGTCCTAGAAATGGCAGAGCAAGTCCGCTGATCTGTGTGCTGGTCACAGGAAGGTTGAAGGTGAGGAGCCGGGGGGGGGGGGGGGGCAAAGGGTGACACAGGAC